GCACTCTCTCTCACTCAAGAGTTCCAAGACCACAAAAAACGAAAGCAACAGACACGAATAACAAACTCACCGTCAGTCATCAAGGTGCGGTCGTTCGAAAGCCTTGACGCTGCACAGCTCAAGCCTCAGCGTCCAACATTCAGGATGTGTAGATGGTGTGTCCTGGGTGAGAGTGTGTGTGTGTGTGTGTGTGTGTGTGTGTGTGGGTGTGGGTGTTCTGTGTAGGTGAGTCTGAGTATGTGTGAGTGTTGTTATGTTCGCTATACAGAACTCACAAAATGACTCAGCCAGACTGTTTCGTCAGACTTCCACCGACTCATCAGGAGGTTGAACCCTGACAGTCTGCCCAAGATGAACTGTACTGATGGCCAAGGACTCACCACGTTTGCGTGTGTGTGTGTGTGTGTGTGTGTGTGTGTGTGTGCGTGTGTGTGTGCGTGCGTGAGTGCATTTGTGCATCCGTGCGTGCGTGTGTGCGTGCGTGTGTGTGTGTGCATGCGAGTGCGCGTGCGTGTGTGTGCGTGCGCGTGCGTGTGTGCGTGTGCGAGTGCGCACGAGTCCAACGTAGAGCGAAGTCGTAGTCGTGCATAGCAGCATAGAAGTCAGTCGAGTAGCTTGAGTGTCGAACACAGGTGTCGACTCTAGAGTAGCGCCAGCGTAGATTCTAGAGTAGCTTAGAGTAACGTAGAGTAGCTCAGTCGAGTAGCTTAGAGTGTCGAACAGGCGTCGACTCTAACTCACAGTCCAGTACACCTGCCCTCAGGTCAGCAGAGCACGTGCCCAATAAAGTAGTTTATATACGTTGTAACGGGGCTGGACCGGTAGCGACGCTGGACTGGTAGCTCGTCACTCGCAACCCCGGTACCACGTGCGGTAGGGCCGGTAACACGCTTTGGTACCGGCGCTGGCGCGTGGGCCCGGTGCAGGCCCTGGCGTGGAGCCACCCGCGACGGTTCAACTTCTAAGAGCAAATGATCAGCAGACGATCGGGACCGTCGTGGAGTGTAAAATCGCAGGGCCCCGATCGTCTGCTTGTCACAGGCCGAAAATTAGTGATAGTTATATATGTAGGGATCTACGGATCAAATCCACAAGACCCAAGCTGCACACACAAAACATTTGTACATAGTTTTAGGGACAGGTCGCGGGTTCAAAGCACACAGGGTCAACGGGCAACTATACAGTGGGCTAGGGAAGGTCTTGGGATCAACATCCCGCTGTAAGAACCAGGAAGAGACTTGATGATCTCAAGGGCACCAAGTGGACGGGCACTGTGTACAATCTACAGTTGTTTGTTAGCAAACTTTTTGCTACACCCGGACTGGAAATGACTGCACAATCATGCTTGGATGTTGTGAAAGGCACGGTTCCCACTACTTACACGCATCGCCTAGGTAAAGAGCTCCTTGGATATACGAACTGGCTTTCCCTCATGCAGGATGTGGTCAGCCTTTAGGCACAAGACCTCGCTTCCACAGCAGGCAGCAAAAAGCCTATTGGCAGCAGGCGGTTCCCAAGCAGCAATTTTTGTTGTGCATGACCTGTTGGAGGCCGATGAGGAGGCCTATGCATACGACCCCACTCGTGGTGACGACCAAGAACAAGACCCTGATACAGCTTGTTCCTCTTCAGCCCATGAATATAACGAAGAAGAAAAATTAAATGCCTTTAGAAAGTCTGCCAATGTGAAGGGGGCAAACCGGAACTATGTCCAACTTCCCAAGGGAGTCAAAATCCCAGCAAAACCGGAGGATGCATTCACCAAACCTTGGGTTGACCTCCGGATCTCTGAAAATGATTGGAGGATTAGGCTCAAGAAAGGGTTATGCCTGCATTGTCTGAAACCGAACCACAAAGTACAAGATTGTTATAGGCTGCATGAAAACTAGAACCAGGCGTAGAGTTGACATCAACACCCTCTACGACAAGGGAGCCTGAACCTGACGCAGATCAGCAGTCCTCTCTTGAAGCCCCATCGTGTGCTGAATCCAAGGCTGAAGTTCATCATGCTTTGTATGTTGAGCCTTGGGAGGAGTCTGAGACGGACTTTCACTCTCATCTAAAGCATTGGGCAAAGATGAAACATCAGTGTGCTCAAGGGACAGTGAAGTTAATCTTCTTCAAACTTCTCATAAGCCACCGTTATCTCCGTGTCTTCATTGATTGTGGTGCTACGACTAACTTCATGTCACCGCACGGGATACGCAAAGTGGGTTTCGGGATGAAGCAAGTGGGTTTGGGGATGAAGCAAGTGGGTTTGGGGATGAAGCAAGTGGCTTTGCACAACCCTTGTCGGACTCAAGTAGGCAACAAAGAAGTTGTCACATCCACGCATGTAGTCAAAGCGTGCGCACTACCTTTGACAAGGACAAGACAGTCACCCTCGCATTGAACTTATATGTCCTTGACAAGTGTCCTTTCGATGCAGTCCTTGGATTGGGCCGGTTGCAGTCCCAATGCGAATGGACCAAGTGGAAGGAGTCACTTTTCATGGCCGAAGACGCTCAAGGGAACAAGCATCCCATCCTCTTGGATGAGAAGCACGAGTCCCCAATGACGTT